ATATATATATATTAGTTATCTAAATATTGTAACAAAAATTAACATGGTTAATACCTTTTTAAAAGTAAATATAATTGTGATAATTCTTTTCCTAATTATCTTAAAAGATACACTTTCACATAATAAAATAATATATATTAATCATGTTTCTTTAAATTGAAATAACTTGGACTTAATTCATATATACTTACATTTTATCGAGCCCAATTTACGTTATTTAATGCGAGCTGCAAAATGCGTCCAATGTTGATATAATTTTTCATTCTCCTATAATACTTAAAGAGGGAATTACATCTAGACCTGGAATTATATTACCAATTTCATAAATCCTGAATCGAGTTTCATATTGCATAAATCAGATTCAATTATTAAATTAAAAATATTTTTTTTAATATCTACATACAATATAAATTATTTTATATACACCCCCTACCCTATCTAACCGAACCAACCCTCAAATCATTTGAACCCATCCCCTCTCTCATCTCCTCTCCCTTCTCTTCCAAACCGTCGCCGCTTCTTCCCTTCTTCACACAGTGGAGCTCGTCGCCGGGAGTAGTGAGCAGCGCTCCCTGCGATCCCCGGCAGACATTCTGGTGGATTTGTGAAAGCCTAGACAAAGAGAAAGAGAGTCGATGTGGTATCTCGTGTCGTCCATGTCTCCAGCACCGTTCATTTGTGCGTCAGTGAAGATATTGTTGGAAGTCGCAACTGTGTTGCGGTTGGGTTGTGGCGGTGGTGCTCGTGTGGCTGTGGTCTGTCTGCCATGGTCGGGATCTGCAGCTTCACGATTTGATGTGGTTTTTGGGTGTGTTTTCAATTGGTGGTGGATGGGCCTGTGGTGGTGGTAGTGTTTGGGTGGCGATCGCTACTGTAGCGGCGCTGCAGTGTGGTTTGATCGTTTAGATTTGAGATAAGATCTGTGTTTTAGTTTTGAATGTGGCGGATATGGTGGAATTGTGGTGGAGACGGTAGTGCTTATGTTGGTGGTAGTGGTGGTTTTGGTGCTGTTGGGGGGAGGGGGGTTTTGGGTTGTCTGGCTGCAGAGGCGATGGGTCTGGCTGCGGCAGTGAGGATGGTGGTGGTAGGGTCTTTAGGGTTGATTTGTGACTAAATATTGGTAAAAGATCGGGACAGGGGTGGGGTGTTTAGCGTATATGACCGATATTTTGGTTCACTGTGACTCGTTATTAACCTGTGACCTCAAACCATTGTGGTGCGTTTCTGTGGTGTTGGTGTTGGTGGAGGAGACGACAGTGGTTTTGTATTGATGGTAGTCACAAATGACTTGTTGATTGTGACACATAAATAGGTTGGTGTGTGATCAATGAAGAATAAATTGTGACCAATAAGTATTGCGTGACCTACAAATTTATTAATTTGTGATCAATAAAAGTAATTTGTAACCTATAATTTGATTTTTTGTGACCATAAAATAAGTGGTGTGACTTATAAATTTTGTGATTTGTGATCAATAAACAAATTATGACTTTAAAATTTTTAATTTGTGATTGATGAACGAGCTAACCTATAAAATTTTTGAATTGTAATCAAATTGCAAAGATATGTGATCTTTATATATTTATTAATAAATTAATTAATTCATTCATAAATAAATTTTAATTAAAACTTGATATTTGAAATATAAAACATCTTTCCTGAATTTTGAAATGATAATACTTAAAAACCTGATTGTATTGTTCCCATACTTAAATATTTAGCCAAAACTAAATAAAATAAATGGATCAAACAATCATATTATCCTATGAATTTTATTATGACTAACAATACTAAGATGTAAAATGATTTCTATTTTCTAAAAGATAAATGATAACATAATAAATTGGAGTGTTACACAATCAACCACAGACCGGCTCATTCTGTTCTCAATCGACCCAGTTATGTCCAAAATCTAATGATACGGGTTTTACTCGAAATAGATTACAAACCTAGTCAAACTAAACGGTATAATTTCAAAAACATTGCAAAAAACAGGCACTTTGCACGAATTAAATTGACTGAAAATGAGAGCCATACAGAATGAAGCATCAAGTGATGTGTATAACAGTCAAATAAGGAGTATTTGCAATTAAAGAATGAACCACTGCATAACCTTACAACATACCCTCTAATGTTCGTTAAACGAACAGAAAAGAGGATGCCCCAAATCATCATTCAACGAGATTCTATGGAGTTTAAGACAATCGTGATAATTTACAGCGGAAAAGATTATATGCACATTGCTGTATCTAACATCTGCTTCGGATCACAGCATAAATCAGTCAGAGGAGTTGCCAGTCATCTTGTGCACCATCTTCGGTTCCATCAGTGGGCAGCATATCAGTAGAATCATATTCTCCGGTGGCATTATCGCTCAAAGTCTCGTGATGAGCAGCTGGATTTGGAGAACTGCGGGTCTCGGTTATTGTAAACAATGGAGCGCCATTTGATTGATCGATTAACTCCGATGCACGCACACAGAAATCACCAAAATCACCTGCCAATATCAAAATGAGATTTAATGGTTACAAGGGATTTGGCCATGATGCATAAATTCTTAAAAAACTAGGAAAGTGGAACAGAAATGCCTGCATACTTTTATCCCTGCAATAAAACCCAATTGCCAATGATGGGTCAATCGAATCCAAAGGGATGTGTCGTACAACACTGATAGCAAAATTAAAGAAGACAAGGTTAAGAACAGAAAGCGAAAAGCATGCCAGCTCAAAATTGGAAGGACAGAGAAAAGAGATGCATGGAACGGGGAGCAAAATTGATTTGCAGGATTAACTTACTTGCAATGATAGGATGAAGTGTCAGCATCTATGCTATCCCTCTTAATATCGACAACCTACCATCAAATGATAGTGAGAACAGATTCTACAGTATGCCATCATCTGTAAGAGCTTATAGAGAAACCGTACAAAAAACTACCAGAAATAGAAAATCAAACATCAATTAAACTTCATAATTTAAATGCAAGGAAAAGAAAATAAGTGCAATTACAGCAGTGTGCAAAGCAAAAAATAACTAGCATTAAAGTTCCTACATCAACGATGTCTAATTGAATTTTTTCAGGTACAATTTACAAATACATTGACGATGAAAAATCATTTCGAGCAACGACAGTCTCCATGATTAAGCTTCACAGCCGCTGGTATGGTATGAACAAAGCTCATCAGTCACACCTAGGTGCAAATAATGCATCAAAAATCTACATTGTATATGGTGGGGTGAAGGATTCACTTGAAATAGCATATCCCATGGTATAAGAACGTAGAAAGGATCAGTTTGGGATGGGGACCTTTTTATAAAAGCTAAGAGTGTGTTTGGAACACATTCTTTTGAAAGAATGTATTATTGAATGGTAGATTGATGGAGAGTGTGTGGTTAAAAATGAAGGAAAAGTTATTGATGTAATGAAAAATATTATTTTATTGAAGGATGTGTGGTTGAAAATGAGTAGAAGAATGAGAATGAAAAAAAAATAATGTGTACAAACAAGGCCTAATTTAAAGACACGTCTAATCAATCATCCATTTCCAATAATTGTCTCTCCCCTTTTCTTCCAATTTTTTTTTTTTAATTACAGTAACTATATTATTCAGTAGTCTAATAGATTAAGGGTTTTTTTGAGCCCCATTTTATGGGAGAATAGATTTTGTAATAGTGATTTTTTTCGAGAACGTGTAGTTAAAAAATAGGGAAAATTTTTGAACTTACGTGTAAAATTATTTTATTGGAAGAACCTGTGGTTAAAAAATGAGTTTAAAAAAAATGGGGATAAAAAAGGGGCTAAGTTCTGCAATATATTGGTCATTTGGTACTTCCTCATGCCAAGTCATCTTAGAACCTATACTATACCTGCAATCACATTAACATGAAATGATTAATATATTTGGTCCTCCCATAAATACCTGAACTTCAATCACAACATTCCACAATGATAGGAAGCAAGAAAAATTGTTATAAGCCATTTTTGAGTAATTTAGTGACAGCGTCATCCGTTCAGCTGCTTATTCAAGTGTCCAACATAAAATTGGGCACCTAAAATGAAGTATGAAAAGTAGTTAGGAGGTGTTACAAATAAACAATATATCAGATTTGTAGTGAGTTGCGAAAACCTAGAAGAGGACGACCACAGCGAAGAATGAATTTTCCAAATTTCTAAATCTTATTATTATAGCAATTGATCATGAACCGAACTGTAATAGCAAGCATTTCAAATGGTATACAATCTCCAACAGCTTTAAAAAATGCAACATGTTCAAATAAAGGCTTGAGAAGCCTTTCTAATATTTATTATTTTCTCAATATCATGTTGAAGTATATTTGGTATACCAACAATTGAAATTTGTGATAATATGATATAACCAACTATTACAAATAAGAGCATATAGTGAGGCTCCTACAAGAGGACAACAGGATTCCACGCACCTGCTGAACATCATGTGGATCAAGATAAAATGCCTTTTCATCTTGCACTCCAACTATGTATGTTGAAGCACCAGGTCTGCCACCCAATATCCCAAGGCACTGCGGAAAAGTAAACGTAGCAGCCAGTAAGGGAAGATACCTGATGACAATGTAAAGTTTCCATTAACATTAGGGTACCAACTAAAAATTTGAGTATGTATTCGTTAGAATGAAGAGAACAAAAACACAAACAAATAGAAAGAGATAGAGCGAGATTAGAGAGACAGTTGATATAAAGTAAATCTGACAAAAGATACATCAAAAGCATATAACCTGGCAAAATGATCAGTGAGCTTGAAAAGTATTTTTTTTTTTTTTCTAAAACCATAATACATTATTTTCTACTACCCCATATTCCCACTAATTTAGGGATCAGCAACATTTATTCTTTTTCATCACTCCGCATGACTTATCTACCACGCATCTACTGAAAGATCCAATGCCAGAAAACCTTTCACAACCACATCAGGACATGTTAATTTTGGTCTCTCTCCCTCTTCTAATCTTCTAATACATTTCATTGAGGTCACATTCTTTAGGTTAGTGCAAGACATGCCCCAACTAGCATAATCCAATAGCAAAATATCTGAGGGAAGTCTCCCTCTAAATCTCATTGTATAATTATGTGATTTAAGTTTTCTGACATGCATGGTAACTCTATGCTAGTCCCGAATATCAATCTCAGTTGCCTCTGATTAAACTTTTAACGTATAGATCTCTAATTCTATAGTATATGGTGCAAAAGCACCAACATCCCTTTCTTTCTTTTCATGGCTTTGCATTACCAATCGGGAAATAATTTCACCATTTTCTTTACTGGTCCTTCCTTTTTGATTAGCTCATTACCATGCACTCTCTAATTCTATTGCACGGAGCAGGAACACCACATCCCTTTCTTTCCTATTACGAGGTGCGCGCAAGCTGGCTCGGACATCTATGGTTGTAAAAAAAAAAAAAAAAAAGCTTAGCTTCACCTATCCAGAAATTAATTCATCATTTTCTAAAACCAGTCCTTCCACCCAACCCCATCCCAATGTGAGAGAGAGCTAATAAATAAACACAAATTGCCCTTTCTTATAATCGAAACAACAGAATGTATACACAGACTCTCCACAAGTTGGTTCAAATAAACATGCAAGTCTTGACAGTGTGCTTCCCTTGTTTCTATCGTTCTTAAAATCCTTGAGTGCAATGTTGCAATGTATTCCTTACTTTGACTGCAATTTTATGCTTCTCAGACTATGCATTATCAGTAATTCATTTACTCAATTGCATACCGTGGCCATCCACTTATCTTTGTACGTAGTAAGTATGCTACTCAATCTTTAAAAGCATCTTTATATCGACTAAGTTCTACCGATGCAGACACGCAGGTTCCTTAATATTACATTTCTATGCATCAAAAACCAAATAATCAAGCATTTCCGAATGTAACGTTCCATGCACCGAGATTCAAGGTACAAGGGTATAGTACAAGGGTATGGAATTGATAGCAAATCAAGATAAACGAAACATTTAGTGTCATTCACCAGTATGAATGTGCAAAGTGTTGGTCCGTGGTGAAGAAAGAAGGATTGCTTCTGAGCAAGAAATCAATAGCTATCACTAACAGGTGTAATTTAAAAAGGGTCACAATAAATAGATAAGAAGTGGCATGAAGACTGAAGTTATTTGAAAACTTGCTTAACAGTATAGTTTCCATTTCTCTAGCTCTAAAGTTTGATTTTCCATAAAGTGATGTGGTTACTACTGCACATCAGTAACCACAATTCTGCTCTGCAACGTGTTATTCGTTTGTTAATTGGCGACATACCAGCAGTGATCTTAGGTCTTATCATTTTCAACTATCAACTGATAGTAAAGTTAACAAGGTGAAGATACATTTTCGGAGCTCATATACATGTAGCAATATATTCAGAATAATTCAATTATCCATAACTCATACAGAAGTGAGAAAAGACACTAGTAGAATCACAACTAAATTAGGTGCTTAATTGCCACTTGAAGACATTTACAATATGTAAAGTCCAATGACAATGCTTAGTTTTGGCAATTGCTGTACATTCTTCATGGTCCACAGGAAAACCTGCTGGATAGGTTCATCACAAAATCTTGTAGTCCAATTAATAAGCATAAGATAAATATACAATGTTGCAATAATGTTACAGAACAGATAATCACACCTCCCAAGAATACTGCAACATAAAACTCAATTTTCATCATTTATGATGACAAGAAGTGCCCCGCTAGGAGTGACTTTCTTTGTGTCGCAAATGGCATGCATGAACAATTATTTCTCCTTTTGCTCCCCAAAGCACAGTTATTTTTCTCATTGAATTGTCTCAAAATTTCTCTGGAAAGGATCTGTTTTATGCATATAGCAAAAAATAAAAAAAGTAGAAAAGCTTAATTTTCATCTAGTCATATTCATCTCATGCCAATTCCTTCATCTAAGATATGGCTTTCCTTAAAAACACAAATAGCCTGCAAACTATCAAGAAATTGATGTAACACCACAAAGATGTCATCCCTATAATTTAATTAATCTTGCTAGACAGTAATCCATTTAGCACCTTCCCCAAGATCTCTAGATAACTCCCAAGTTTTTGACGTGCTATGTCCTAACGGCAACAGCAGCACAACTATTCCTATTAGTTAACGTCATAACGTGTAAAGCATCAATGAGATAGAAGCCTAGAAAAGGCCAGTTGAAAGTTCATATACAGAAAAAGGACTTATTATATAATTATTTTCCCCCATTTTAAAATTACTAATCTTTCTCCTGTTTCACACGTTTGAATTCCAAAAATAAGTTTTAAGCTTTCTGTGTTTCCACTTTTCATCAAGTTTGTAGTCTGACTTATCCACTTTTTAACCAGATTAGTAGTAGTAAATTAGGACACAGATAGGATAGCCACCTTGTCCTAAATCATCTCTAGCTGATCACAGATCAAACATAAGAATGGTTAGCTGAGGAAAATCTACAAAATTTGAAATTTTACAAAAATATACTTTCATTCCCAAGGTTTTGACATATAACTTCATACCTTGGGTTAACTTTGTCCAGTCCTAGAACCAATGGAACCAACATGAGGACAGGAGTCCAATCAACTTCACCTCCGGAAAACTCACAGTGCCTAGAAATATCTTGAATGCAAAGAACAGGAGCTCCACCTCGTTCCCCATCTTCATCACCAGAAACCACATATATAGCCATCATCGAGGACAAGCCTCCATTTTCTTTCTCCTCCCGCTTAATACGCACCAAAGTTTCCCAGGTGCGACACATGGCATATGGACCTACCCATGATCCTGGAGCAAGGCCATAAGCCTTTCCAGCTTGGAGAAGATTGTGTATGGAGAAAGGTGAGTCTTCAGAATCCCCAAAAATTTGCAATATTTCAATGTAATTTTGATCAAGTGGCTGCATAATTAGAACAACACCAATGTGAACATCAACAAACCTTAAGAGGCCATCAGATGTACATAGATTAAATTATCTATATCTACATTACGAAAATATAAATGCATAATAATCAGATTCAGCATTAATGTACGTCACCTTTTGTAGAGATTTCCTCCACGATCTTCCAAATATATGAAAAAGAAATGCCTGTGCACATAGAAAAGTAATTAGCATTTGCTAATTATACACACGCTAAGACTTAACAAGAGAAGAGGGTAATACCTGAGCAACAAGCATCTGGCTGCTCCGAAGCATGCAACCCCAATGAACATCGCTAGTGTACTTTGAATCTCCAATGGGATAAAATCCTACAAGCTCACCAAAACAACAAGAATCTCATAAACCTCGCCATCATCATCAGTCATCAATACATTCATTTGATCCACATATATACACTACCTTTTCGGTATGTGATCAAAATCAGAGATGATAAATCCTCAACAAACGCAGCAAATTCCTCTCTCTGAGTCGGATCAGAACAGGAAGAATTCAAGTCATCTCCTTCTTGACCAATTTTATAGCAAATACCCAAAAGCCAAATATTACTGTTCGACACGGAAACCCCTGATTTAGTGAACCCCAATATTCTCCTCATTGATCCACCATTCATCATCACTCTCCTCACAGCTGCTCTCCAACCCTCATAATAGTTTCTCCCACTCGCAGACTTCTTCCTAGGACTACTGCAGCAACTTTTCTGCTCACTATTGTTATTACTATTCGAAGTCCCAAAAATGGACAAAGCCGGTAGCCAGATTCCCGACCAAATGGCTAAGGACTTGTGATGCTTACTACTGCTGGCACTTGGTCCTGCCTCGGATGAGACAGAACCCGGAATTCCGTTCGAAGAATAATTACAGTTTCTTTTAAAAGAATTATGAATTGGATCACTGTTTTTCCCTCGAAAACCCTTCATGAACTAATTAATTGAATAATCGGGGCCGCATATGAAAACCATCCCATATTAATTTGATGTCTGAGCAAGCGAAAAAAATAAATCAAATAACGAAAATAATACTGTCGAAATCAAGATACCCATATTCGTAAATTAAAACTATGAATTAAATTTCATGGTTTTGTAATTTTTTGTGCAAACACATGAATTATAAGCAATATTACGATAAACAAAACAAAGAGAGAGGGATTTTAAAACAAACCCACTCACCGGAAGATGGTAATCTCAGGAAAGTTGAAATTCGTGGGGATCTTAAGTTTCTGTACTTTGGTCTGATGAGGTTGTTTTATTGCTGGGCTGCGAAAACTTCTGTGATGTGTACATTATTTGTATATAGGTTGCGTAATGCGTACAATTTGTACAGTTGTTCGGCTTATAGCTTAAAAAAAAGAGTAAATTCGGGTATTTTATTGTCAATAGAATAGTATAGAACATAAATATATCAACTTATTTAAATAAAACAATAAAGAACTAATTGTAATTATATGTCTAAATTTCTCAAAAAATTACAAATGAATTCCCAACACAATTAAAAATCAAAACAAAAATCCAAAATAACTTTATCATCTTCCCTCTTCCCACCCCAATAGAAAAAAAAGGAACAAATGAACCATCGACTCCATCTAGCCAACCTCCACAACAAACAACAGTCATTAACCCCCAAACACTTTCCTATAAATCAATTAAACAAACAACATTTATATGGCCAAACTCAACCAAAAATGTAGTTGGTAGAACGAACACACGCTGTCTTTTTTCGTCAATTTCAACATCGACAGTGATTCCCACCGTCGAAGACCACCCATTTCGGCTTCGCCTTATCACACTGTACTTGCTACAACAATTGGCTTCCGTCAATTTCATTCTATTTTTTGTTAGTTTTGTTATTTTTTAACATTCTGTTTAACGCTCTTCCTCTTATAAAAGGTGACACGTACACCAAAAATGTAGTGGGCTAGGTTTAACAGTACATTGTAATGTACTAAACTAGAAAGTAAAAATTGGAAACGATGTTAATTAGGCAAAGGAAACAACAGACCTCTCATGCTATGAATATGTCTGGGACGCTCTTCAAGGGAAGAGCTATTACTATTCATTTGCTCTTGCATTTGATGTATTTTTTTTATAAAGAGGTGAAGCAAATGATGCTTATCGAGAAGCATTTTGCACAAAAGAGAATTTTTATTTTGAGATCACATAAACAGTACAGAAATTCGGAAGTCCTTTGGATACACCAGTCGGAATACCTTTGGAGTTATTTTGGTTTTTTTATTATTTGTTTGGGACTCGTTCGTAATTTTTTTGAAAATTTTGGGTATATGGTTGCAATTAGTTTTTTATTTTTCTTTTCTTTTCTTTTCTTTTCTTTTTGTTTTATTTAAATAAAATGGTATATTTATCATTTCACATATTTTGAGGAAAATGATTTTTTCGCAATAAAACGTGGAAATACGTGGAAATAGGGATGAAAATGTAAAAAATTGAAACGAAGAATGTATGGACGTTTTGTGCTAATAAGCCTTATGGAAAAGTATTATAATCCCTCATGGTTGTGTGGGACCTAAAAAATGATAAGCTTCTTTTGAAGTTAAAAAAAAATGGTTCAGCTTCTGTTTGAAAGAATTTATAGAACATCTAATTTACAAATATATAGAATGGGGTGATGATACGTGGAAAATACTTGTGGATCCATTAAAATTATGTTTGAAAATGAAGCTTCACCATTATACATAATTTTTAAGTTATTTCATTTGACAAATTTATAAATTGTTTATAGGAATAGTAAGAGAAATAGTAGTGTATTTCATAAAATGAGTGGTTCACTGTCACATTTTCTAATAAAGTTAAAGAATTTTTTTTCATGTGTTGGAGAATGTATTGCACCCACGTTGGAGAATGTACTACACCCGTGACAATGAGATTATAGTCACATTTTCCAATAATATTGAATTACATTTTAATTTATTAGAGAATGAATAATTACTCCACTATCAAATTGGGCTACTGTTCATCAACACTGATTAGTAATAACATTATAAGAAAATTACCTAAAAACCTACTATTAAAGATTAGTTATCATAAATAAGGCGGATTAGTTTAAAATTCATATATCAGGTGGTAATTAAAATTTATTAATTAGAATTAATAAATATTTAATTAAAACAAAAATTAGATTAAAGACGTTAATTGTTCCAATTAAAATCTAATTGAATCTTCATTTACACGACACACTCTCTCTCTCTCTTCCATACATGCTTCTTTGTCTACCTTTCATGAAGACATGATATTCTTCTCGAACTTACATAATCTAGTCACCAACAATTTTGTTGTTCATTATCTTCGAATCTCAACCTCGTATCAAGCAAAAACCTTGCCATTATTACACAAGGTTTCATCGTAAAATCATCCTATTTTTGCTTATTTTCAAAATTTACAAGTATTGAAAATGGTTTTAACTCAATGTGTGGAGGATAAAAAGAATGTGATAGAGAAAGGTAGGAGGAAGAAGGAGGTTAAAGAATCTTCTCCTCGAAAGAGAATATAGATGTCGGGTTCAGGTGGAAAATCTACGAAAAATGTGAAATCGATGTTTATGCTTTCAGTTTTGTTGTGCATTTACTTTCCAGTTAGGGTTGTGTAGGTTGATTACGACACCAATCGTATGTTGTAACCTGATTTTTAAACTTTGTGACATTTATGTGATCTAATCAATTGTTGTGACTTTTATGATCGACCCATGTTAGAGGAAAAACCTTCTCCAATTAAGGAAAAGTATTTCAAGGAATTAAAAACAATTGCAAGCCATGATGTGAAAAATGTATTTCCTTTAACTAGATGACGATACTCTTGAATATGATGTGGCTAGATTAGGGATTATTTATCTCATCACCAATTATCTCTTTGCCACATCATACGCCAAGGTGGTGGACCATTACATTTTTTGCATTTCTTGATGATCTTAACACTTTGGAAATGTTCCTTTGGAGAAAATATATTTTTGAATTGACATTATCATCACTAAAGAGGGGTTTAGAGAAAGAAACAAGCCAGTGCTTTCAAAGTGTAGCTGTGTCGGTGTATACCCTGTATTGAGGAGAATGTGGCCACATGTGTAGGTAAAAAATACCTCCTAATAGTTAATTGGAATGAGCACAAACACCCTTATGTGAGTTGAAGTCAGATAAATGATTTGATCCAACTGATATTGAGCTCATGGCGCCTTATATGACAGGTTCAAAAATATGAATTTTAGATATATTTGTGATCTGTAATACTTTAATGTGACATGCATTTTTCATGTGAACTGAACTTTGCGAATTTCTGTTATCTGAATACAATATTATAATGTGACATGACGTGTAGGACCTGCTATATTAATGTGACATGAAATACTATAATGTGAATTGTAGTATGAACATGAATTTTAGATAGATCTTGTGTCACTTTCTATTCGATATAATGTGACTTGATTTGTATCATTCTCTAAACTGATTTCATTTGTATTGTATGTGTCGCACGGCAGATGTGTCATACTCAAAGCCAAAACTGCCACAAAGGTGAATGTAGAAGTCACAGATAATGATTTTGTGGTTTCACCATCAAAAGATTAGAAAGGAGCTGCCACTCAAACTCTGTAGCTCATACTTAGCCTACCCATCATCCCGACCGTTCATGCGTTGAAATAAGTTATTTCTTCGTTAACATATTGAAGAAGCATATTGATATACAAGCCAACAAACTACAAAATCTATCAGGACTGTGGCCTATTGGAAAAAAAGGATGGATGTGGAGATATCCAAGCTTTATATTGAGAATTAAGGGCTAAGGTAGGATATTCTGTCCATGAAATCACATCTAATTGATAGTAATAACACTGTGTGTCATTCAAATAGCTCTTCAAAGTTGAATGAGGTCATTCACAATAAAAAGGTTTTGAAAGATGGGATGAGCGACTTCAGATCATCTCTGGAAACTATTGTTAATTCAATTTCTTACAATTTATCTTCATTTATGGATGAAATTCATACAAAGTTGTTTGGGAAAGGACCTTCTAGGGAACATGTATATAGCTAAATACCAGTGAATATTTATCATTCAATTCAATTTCATACTATTTTTATTGCATGCAATTCTGTAATTTCAAAAAAGGAAGAAAAATGTAGTCGTTATTGGGTTCCGCTCGTCTAATAAAAGAAAAAATAGAAAAATATTTTTTTCTAAAATGAAAATGAGGCTAGGGTTCAACTTTAAAAACCAGATGCTTATTGTTTTTCTAATGTGAAAACCTATATATACCCCTTACAAAACACAACACTATCTATTTAAGGTGATTGATTCTTTTCTAACCCATCTCCGAAGACTTATTTGTCATAAACCATGATGATTCTCCATTTGTAACTCTGACGACTTATCCTTCAACAACTATCGGTGATCTTCGATTGTTAGAGGTGATGGTAATGGCCAGATCTGCCATAGGAGGTGGATCCATATTCATGACAGGAGGTGGTTGCCTTCATCGAAGGTTAAATTGGCTGGTCACCAAAACTTCGTTGGACCAATGAGATCTCCATAACTGATTCTACTTGGATCTACTAATTAGATTCACTTCCAATGGTCGAATTTTTCACGATTTTCCAGTAATATACCACAAAATCTACAATTGTACCATATCCATAGGTTGGTTACAAGTGTTTTATCTTTTGTATAGATGCTAAAGGAATTTGGGCGCGAACACGTCCATGCAGCCGTCGAGAAGTTGCTGCTCAAGGCACAATCGATCGATGTATTGAAGATTTTACACGTTCTAATTGGATTGGTCATATCTCCGGCTCCAATTTCGACAAAGAAAAGTATGAATTGAAAGAAGAAAGAGATAAGTTCGAAGAGAAGAATGAGGATGATATTTTTAAAGATTAGGAAGCAACAAACAAGGAGGAATGCATTAATGTAAGAATAATCGAGATGAAATTGTTGACGGGGAAGTTTTGACACGATTGTGGCAGAATTGGGCAAGATGAGAGTTTTGAAGGAGACGTTCATGAGGACTATTTATAAGTGTATTTTGTACACGTATTTAGGCATTTAAAATAGAGTATTTGTTAGATATCTTAATGAATTGTGATTTAAATCTATCTATATGGTGCTTTTATATAAAGATTGATGAAAATGGTGAAATTTGAAAAAATGGGTGAGAAAATGGCTCAAATGCAAGAAATTCAAAATTCGGGAATTAAAGTACGAATACTAAAAAGTTTTGTCGAACCTCATGATAAAGATTCGAGAGTGATAGGCGTCAATTAGACAAGAAAAGAAGTAAAAGGGTGAAATATAGTCAAAATATTCTCATACATCAATTTTCAACCGAACAAGTTATGCTCAAGATTTTTAGTCTCAGATGTAGACTCATTTTTCTTATAGTAAATGTTCAAACTGGAAAATTATAATTTAGAAGAACTTTAGCCATTTGAGTCAGCTTTCCAATACACTTTGAATCACCTTAATTGTACATCGAGAGAGAAAGATATGACAAAAATACTGACAACTGATTAGAGACATAACTATGTGATCGTATGGTATAAATTCCATATGAGTGCATGGGCCACTTGCAGTTGTAATGCCCCAAATTCTTGTAACTTGACGCGTTACAAAAAAAAATCTGAGTTCTATAACTTTAACCAAAATGACTTGTAAATAAAAAAAATTTAGAGTTTGAATATTTAATAAATAATGGGAGATCTTAACACTTGACTATATAGACTTAGACAATTATAGTAAAAATTGATTGAAAAGCGTTTTGAGAAAATTCAGCAAGCAGGTAAAAGTTTTCACCGGTTGTCCAGCAACGAGAAGAAAAATATATTTGACCTAACAAACATCAACTAAAATTTATGAAAAATTAATAGAGATTATAAAATTTGTATACGTACAACATAGCAAAAATTGGTGTCTCGGAGATGATGTTTGAAGCACGAAAATATTTTTCAACCACGCTTGATTGTATTTTTGAATTTGATCCGATGCAGTTTACTAACGGGTATAACTTATTATCTAGGTAAAATGTTAAGGTAATTCTAAAGATTATTATTAGAAGACTCAT